GAATTACCAAAAAATAAAGAAGAAAATACAGATTAAGTCGAAATAGAAGAAAATGAGTACATACACGAGGTAAGTAAGAATAATAGAAAGAAGACAAATAAGAAGAAGAAGTAGAAGACGATCAAGAGGAAGCTGATAAACAAAAATAAAAGATAAAGAAAATGAGAAAGAAGAAAAAGACGAAGTTCACTAAGAGGTATTTTAGAAAATACAAAGACCAAGAAGTTGAAGATGAGGAAAGAGACCGAAAGATGAAGATGACAAAGTATGAGAATATGAAGATAAGAAAGGATGCTAAAATAAAAAAGAATAATATAAGTACGAAAAAAGAAAAATAATATGAATCAAGGAATGTGGATAGCATGAAATAACAAAAAATAATAAGCATAAAAAGATGAGGAAGTTGAAGAAAAATGAGAAAAAGTGGGAAGATGAAGAAAACGAAGTATACGAAAAAGAAAATTGAAAGATGATGTAGATAAAGTATAAGAAGGTGAAGATGAAGTATAAGAATTTAAATAAAATAAAAAATATAAAAAAGATGAGAAGAAAAATTGGAAGAATAAAAAATTAGCAGAAAAGTTAGAGAATACGATTATGGTGAAAATGATGAAATTGAAGAGGTAAAATACGGGGAAGTAAAAAATCTGAAAGATTAAGAAGAAGAAGCAAATAAAGACGAAGTATAAGTGAAAGAATACATAGTTAAGATAAATAAGAATAAGATAAATTAAAGGAAAAAATAAAGAAAATCAGAAGGAAAAAAAAAGAAGAAGTTGAAGAAGACAAGAGGATAAAAAACAAGTAGAAGTTGAAGACGAGGAAGAGGAAGATGAAAAATATGAAAGATCAAGAAGATGAATTAATAGTATATATCCACATACAAAGCTAATAAAGATGAATATATATCCGCATACAAAGCTAATAAAGATGAATTTTTAAAATACAAAGACAAAAACGTTGAAGTTGAGAAAAGAGACCAGAAGATGAAAATGACAAAGTATAAGAATGTGAAGATGAATAAAAAATGCTAAATAAAACCAAAATAATAAGAAGACGAAAAGAAGACAAATACGATGAACTATGGAAGATTGATAACACAAAATAAAAAAAATAATAAAACTAAAAGGATGAGGAAGTTGAAGAAGAAGAGAAAACCGGAAGATGAAGAAAAAAAGTAGACAAAGAAGAAAATCACAAGTGATGTAGATTAAGTACAAAAATATGAAGATGAGTGATAAATAAGACAAAGAATATCAAAAAAGGAGGAGTAGTAAAAATTGAAAAAAATTAAAAATGAAAAAGAAACTAGAGAATACGATAATAGTAATGATGAAAAAAATAAAGAAAATATGATTGGTAAATATGGTTTAATATTTACTTTATTTGAAAATACTGATAATTTTTTATTTATTTAATGTATCGTATTAATGATTGCATACTTTAATATTATCTAAAACTATGAATGGATTGAAAGAAACATATTATATTTATTTAAACTATATGTGGATATATATTATTTAGACTAATATACATAATAATTTCATATTTCCATTTCCACTTTGAGAACATATATATACAATTGATTATAATAAAAATTTTGAATCAAAAGTTTACATAGTTTTTATAAAAAAATTAAAAAACTGTATGACAGCGCATGGTATGAAAAATGAAAGTAATTGTACAAGCTAATTATTTATAAATTCAATTTATAATTTTGAATGTAATTTTAAAACTATTAAAAATAATTATCTATAATAATTCTCTCATCTAATTAAAAGATTTTAAAATTCAGAATAATGGAAAATAAATAAATTTAACATTAGGTTTGCTGTTTAACTAGAGAAAAAAAAAAGTCAAACAAAAGTGTAAAACTTTTATCACCTTACATATTCAAAATAAAAGAAAACAGAAAATGAATTTGATAGATTCAATGGCTAGGAAAAATATGTGAGTGATTAAAAAAGTAGTTATCTTCAATTCTGTTAAAATCATTTGTGTAGTCTAGCCTGCAAGAACAAGATAAATAATGAGTCGAACATTCAACCATTTCATTTAGGAAATTTACAAAATGATACCGGTAAACAATGCTTACATAAAATGAGAATTTTCGACTTCAGAAATTGGAGGATCAAAGAGAATTCTCGGCCAGAACAAACACGTATTTCATCTGCACAAATTGAAAAATTATATTAGTTACAATTGATATACGTTGATATATGATTGATCGCGAGAATGAGAAATCACCTCCATATTGACACATCTCCCAAAATCTCAATACACAGAAAACAATTTTGCGACAAGGGCTGTTTTTCCATAGAGATTCAAAATGTTCAGATTCTATGCCCCACGCTATGCAATTGATGTCGAGACCCATAAAAACCAGAATTAAGATGTCATTTTCCTTAATATCGAGAATACGGTAGTAAAGGGTTATATATGTATTAGTCTTTATTGTCTTAAATAATTTATATATTATGTTTGTGAATATTTTATTATGTTTATCACTGACATTAAACTCTCTGATTTTACTAATTTGTAGCGGTTGTCGTTTACAAATGCATTTAGATGGTGATCACTCGGAATTTTTTTAAGAATCTCTACTTAATTGCAAACAACCTATTGTCATCTGTGTTTTAAGATTTGTAAAGGTGATCTAAGTGCATGATATCTGGATTGTTACAACAGCCTTCAAATGTAGTAAAGTTTTGGTTCATCCTCCATTCCCCGAAGTTCACTGATTCAAGAAGCTTATTTTAGAGACTTAGACATAGATCATTTTTTTCTGAAGGAATATTTATTAAATTTTATTTCGTTTACTATATAAAATACCATTTTTTCTATATTTGATTAATATTAATGGTATAATTTCATTTAATTATTGTAAATAATTGTTGTTCATCTTAAAAAATAATATATACTGAAAGTTTAACAAGAAATATTATACAATTTAACAATTATCCATAAACTCAAATATAAAAATATTATACGACTTCTTAAATATATAAAGCCTGCGCTTGTCGCGGACAGTCACCTAGTATTTAATTATTTTCCTTCTCAAAAGTAAATTGGAAAAGAATAAAATATTATATATGTAAAAATAGTATCAAATCCTCATAGGAAAAGGAAATAGTATTTGGAGCACATGTCGTTTAACTTTGGATATATAATACAAGATTTGTTCAGGTTCAAACGTGCATGGAAATTTGAAACCCTAAATTTTGTTTAGAGAGCCCGACTCGTTTTCTCTTCATTGAGAGAGAAACAAAACAAATGATGAGGTCCGATCTTCCTCAGGAGTTGTTAGAGGAAATACTTTCCAAGGTTCCAGCCACGTCTCTGAAACGGCTACGATCTACTTGCAAATGATGGATCGAGAAACAGTTTAGTGAAGGTACAAAGCAGTCTAAGCTTCTCATGTTAAAGGATTATAGAGTTTGTCCAATGAGCATCGATCTCGACGTAGCTCCTCCATCTATAGCGGTTTAAGGGTGCACTTAGCCTAAAAGATTCACATCCTAATTCAGAAGAAGTCGATATAGCCAAAGTGTTTCATTGTGACGGTTAATTGTTATGCACCACCAAAGACTATAGACTTGTGGTTTGGAATCCGTGTTTGGGGGAGACCAGGTGGATCCAACCCAGAATTGGTTTCACGAGTTTCTCCAGGTTTTCTCTAGGATACCAAAACAACAACAAATTTTGTCGTAGCTACAAAATATTGAGGTGTTGGTGTCGTGAACCAAACAATAGGTTTGAAATCTATGAGCTTAGCTCTGATTCATGGAGAGTTCTTGACGAAATTTCTCTTGATTTTTACATATCACCAAATGGTGTGTCCTTAAAGGGAAATACTTTCTGGATTACTTGGGATGGAAATTTGTATAATCGATATGTACACCGTTTTGATTTTACAACTGAGAGATTTCAACAATTGTCTCTTCCGAAGAAAATGCAACTTAGGAATACCGAACGTTATATCAGGGGTCATTCAGTTTTTGGAGAAGAAAAACTCTCAGTGTTCTATCAGTGCCTTGTTTCAAGAGAGATGGAGATATGGGTGACCAATAAGATTGGTACAGAAGCAGCAGAGTTGTCGTGGAGCAACTTCGTTACACTGGAATTACAGAGATTTTGCCGGTTAATTGTGAGTCCTTTTTTTAATCGACGAAGAGAAGAAGGTGGTCTTGTATTGTAGTGAAAGTTATAACATGGTATACACTATTGGAGAACACGATGAATATTACACAGAAGTACCTTTTATAGAATCTACAAACGAATCATCGTGGCTAGATGACCCTTTTGCAGAATCTATATATATAAAAGATGGTTCCCATTTATCTTCAGTTATGTTCCAGTTCACATCCAGCAAGATAGAGGCCAAAGAAAATAATCGATAAGGTTCCTATATTCTTTTTCTTTTTTATTCGTGGTTTTTGTGTCGTTTGATTTATTTAATGAATTAAGATCTTATTTTATATTTCTTTTTACATCACTGGTTATCTAAGTTTTAAAGTTTTAAATAGCTTGTAGCGGACGAAAGCGGTGGACTCAACGCTAGCGCTTCATACCTTTGGTATATGTAGCGGTCTGCTTTTTGTATATGACGACTAAAGATCTTTAACTTTCATTATTAAAACTTTTAAAACTTAAATTAATGCAATTGTTCTTAAAAAAATATCAAAACATCAATCCAAAAAAAATGCAAAGACTAAACCAAACAATCGTTTAAAAATATTGCTAGAACTAAAACACTAAAGAATAAGATCATCATCATTACGAAGTTCATAACAATTTTGGTAACCCAAATCATTTGTTCCTATATCCTCTTCAATCTCATCATCATCAATAAAGGACATAACACATTTTCCTTTGTCAACTCTAGCTGAACTTGGAGCAACATCTTTTTCTTTGTCAATTCTAGCTGAACTTGAAGCAACACTCTTTCCTCTAGTACGGTAGCTAGGTTCCTCTGCTCCTGTAGCCTAGCTAACCATTCTCTATGTCAAATCATCATCTTCAAACACCAAAGCATTGTCTTCATCTGAAGAGTTCCCGTCCATTCTCCCAAGTAGCCACTCGTTGCTTTCATAAATTTCTTCCAAGAGAATAGGATCAGTGGTATCACTTCGCTTGTATCGACGTTGCAAAGCACGATTATATTTCACAAAAACCATATCATTCAATCGACTTTGGGCCAATCGATTTCTCCTCTTCGTATGAAGCTGTTAATAATAAAGAATATAAGTTACATAATATTGTGAAATTTTATTCAAAATACGTACTAAAAAACTCATGTTACTTACAAGTTGAAAAACATCCCAACTTCTCTCACAACCAGTAGCGCTACAAGTGAGACTAAGAACTTTTATGGCAAAGTTCTTGAGGTTTGGAGCTGAAGATCCATAACATGACCACCATTCCGCTGTTATAATAAAAATATTGTTATTTATCATCTAATATCATTATATTCAAAAACATATTATATTTAAAAAAAAATGACCTGGTGACTTTTTCGATCTTTGCCTCTTTGCCATTGTATTACCAAAGATACCAGTTGCATTTTTAAATGCATCCAACTCATCCAATATTTTGTCTTGAATCTCCTGCTCAAGAACCAGCCTTTCAATGCATTTATACAACCCGTTTTCCACTTCCGCACAACGTAAATCATCAGGATGTTCATACTGGATCGCTGGGTTCAGAAAATAACATGCTGCATGCAAAGGTCGGTGAAGCTGACAGTCCCATCTTCTGTCAATAATCTCAAAGACTTTTCCGTATTGCTCCTCCCTCAGATTGAAACTATTAGCAATAGCCTCTTTTGCTTTGTCCATGGCTGCATAAATATATCCCATTGGTGGTTTTCTCTCTCCATCAACCATCCTAAGCACACTAACCAATGGACCTGTCACTTTTAAAGCATATAAAATATGTCTCCAAAAAGTATATTGCAACAGATACGTTTGCACTTTCTTTCCTCCAGCTTCCTTTGGCCATTTAGAAGCATTCCACTCTTCAGAAGTCACCATCTTCCTCAAGTTGTTCTGCTTCTTGTGAAATTGTGAAAGAGTGATGAAAGATGTAGCAAATCTAGTCACAGCAGGCCTATGCAGATTGTGTTGGTTTGTGAACCTTCTCATCGTGTTCACAAGATTGACATGACTATAAATATAGCCATTTATGTAAATACATTTCTTCAATGTATTCTTCACTTGTGGTATTTCTCCAATGTCTTCCAACATCAAATCAATGCAATGTGCAGCACAAGGAGTCCAATAAAAATTTGGTCGTTTTACCTCTAGTAATGCCCCTGAAATTTATATTACAAATATAAGATTCCATGTATATTAGAAAAATAAAATAAAATTAGAGTTATATATCTTACCAGATTTTTTGTACGCTGATGCATTGTCCGTTACGACTTGAACGACATACTTTTCTCCTACCTCCACAACCATTTCATCAAGCAAGTTAAATAAGCAATTTGCATCTTTCACGACTTCAGAGACATCTTTCGATTTGATGAAATCGGAACCCTTCGGAGAATTAACAAGAAAGTTAACAATATCTTTCTGTACGACCGAATCGCGCCATCCATCAGACATAAGAGAGCACTCATTAGATGCCCACTCTTTCTTATTATCCTTGATTAGAGCAAGAGTATCTTCGACTTGTTTCTTAAGAAAAGGAACTCTTAACTCATACATACTCGGTGGCTTCAATCCTGGACCATACTGCCCTATTAACTCAATCATCTCTGCAAAACTCTCGTAAGTGACAGCGTTTAATGCAAGCCCAGCATCAGTAAACCACTTAGATATGCCTAAACAGACCTTGTCCCTTAATTCTTTATCACATGCACCAAAAACTCCTTTTCTCTCCTTCCTTCCTTGCATTATATCTGCAGGAGTGGAAGTCACAAACCTGTCTAGTGGACCTTTCTGTTTACGCTTTTTAGGCTGTTGAACGTCCATCTTTTTATCATCGCCATATTCATCAACGTTTTGTGGAGTTACATCCATCATCTGAGCTGCTTTTGCTTCTGCTTTTTTAAGCTTGTAATTCAGCAACTCTTCTCTCACGTGTGCTGGATAATGGGGACTTTTTTTACGCCTGAACCTTCTCCAGTCAAGTGATTCTTCAATCGATATATTCCTCCCTTGGTCACTTGCAAACAGTAAATACACTTCCAATACGTACTGTTGCCCTGTTGTATTCCGAATTTTCTTCCCGGATCAGAATGATCAGTCATGGTGAATCTATGATTGGTAAAAAAAAAGGTAATTACGTGAAAGAGGAGATAAGAGAACAGAAGATAGAAGAAACTAGAGAGGAGAATAGAAGGAGACGTGAGATGAAGAAGACGTGAAGGAGAAACTAGAGAGGAGAATAGAAGGAAACTTACTCGAAGATTACGCGGAGACGTGAAGGAGATGTGAAGGAGACGTGCGATGACAGTAGAGGAGAATAGAAGTTTTTTATTTTTTTTTCTTTCTTTGGTTAGATTACGGCTAAATACAGATGATGCGAAGTTAAATTTTTTGTTAGGGTTTTTTTTATTAAAGCCCAGCTCACGGCTTCCTGAATGTACACAACAACAACATGCATTAAACGACCTAAACATAAAGCGTGCGCTTTACCTCGCTTCACGCTTCACTTCTATAGCGGTAAAAGCCTCCGCTTTATGTATTCTGCTTTGCTTTGGTTAATTGAAGCGTTGGTTCCATCGCTTCTGACCGCTTCACGCTATAGCGTTGGAAGCGGTCGACTATTTATGATTCATATCTTCTTTGCATTCAAGTTTTAACTAAAATAACAACCAGTTTGTGGGCATTCGAAGACTAAAAAAACTTCTTCATTATCATAGCTGTGACTACATCAGCTGGCTAAGATGCTTTGGTGTTCTAGAGGGAAAGGCAAATGAACTTAATCGTGGTGTTAACATCTCTGACTTGCTTTAGAAGCACAATATGTCTACATTTAATGCACTTATATATGTGATTCAACAGTTAAATAATGGAATGGTTTATAGTTTATTGTATGGACTAGAGGTCAGTGTTTTTTTTCTGCATAATCACTATACTTTTTGCATAGAATTTGTGTTTATGGTTTTGGTAACATAACAGTTGAGGTTAACAGATGGACAAGAAAGATCTCAATGACGTGTTTAAAATCACGATGAAGATTTGATCCGATATACTATCCTGGGTCACGAATTTCTGATATTCTTAAACACTTAGCATTCAGTTACTTTCCGGACTTTGAGTCTCATCTCTGTCCATTCTCCAGTCAACTTCACAGTCATCACTTCTTGACCGTGATTTTCTACTCATATTGTTCTCTGTTCTATGTACTGTAGTTTTGCTAAGAGGACTCAGTGTTGGGATGGGAGTTAATGGCTCGTGTGCGGAACAGTGGAAAGGAATGGCTGAAGAAAGCTTTACTTGCATCTGCAAGATTGACAAGAGATAAGTTCTTATTGCCTACATAATTATCACTGCACCTTTTGCATAAAACATGAGCTTGATGGTTTGGTAGCATGACACTTTGAGTTTTACAGATGGAATAGAAAGATCTCGGAGACGCGCTTCTCAGTGAAGGTAGGAAAAAACAAGGCAGAGTTACTCATTACTTTAAAATTCTCTACTCTCTCCAACGAGCATGATCTGTGTGTTTTTTTTTTCCTTTTCTTCGCCTTTCTTTTTTGTTCCATCTATAGTTTAATTAAAATATGGTCTATGACTATAATATATCCAACGTTTAAAAATTCAGGATATAAACTTGTTTATCTTACCTAAACTCTGAACAATTGATATGGTCCATACTATAGTATATAGAAAAATAAACAAACGGGAATTACTATATAACTCTACCTGAAACACAAAGCAATGCCTGAAAGAGATTACTGTAATTTGAAAATTTAAAGTGAAAATTTCCAAAAGCCAACCCTGGACAATATATCGAACATCTAAAAACGGCGTCGTTTTAAAATATGCTTCTACACAAAAAGAAAAATCTGTGTTGAACCCGTGCGCTATTCTCCAGTATCTCGGCCAGGTGTTGATGGCGACGGCGATAGTGATGAACGGCGAGCCGAAAAAGCAACCTCGGCCAGGTCGCGGCGGTTTCCAGGCCCGTGGATTGACTGAGGAAGAAGCTCGAGTTCGCGCCATATCGGAGATTGTCAGCACAATGATTGAGCGCTCCCACCGCAACGAGAATGTTGACCTAAATGCAATTAAAACCGCCGCTTGCCGGAAATACGGCCTAGCGCGTGCGCCAAAGCTTGTAGAGATGATCGCTGCGCTTCCTGATAACGAGAGAGAGACTCTTCTCCCGAAGCTCCGTGCTAAACCGGTCCGAACAGCTTCAGGGATCGCCGTCGTGGCGGTTATGTCGAAGCCTCACAGGTGCCCTCACATAGCCACGACGGGGAATATCTGCGTGTATTGTCCCGGTGGACCTGACTCTGACTTCGAGTATAGTACTCAGTCTTACACTGGATACGAGCCTACCAGCATGCGAGCTATTCGAGCCAGGTGAATAGTTTCTGCTACTTTATGGAATTGTAGCTTGTATGTGGATTAATCTTATATTCTAATACAAGAGGTTGTTTCGATTGATATTAGAATCCAATCTATTAACGCAGTTTGAACTTAGATTCAGTTGTTGACAATGGATCGTAGGTAGTTTTCGGGACTATGTTGTGTGAGAGAGCTTAGACTGGGAACTTTTCTTGGAATCGTAGTAGTTTTGGGTTGTGACCAAAGCTTCCAATAATGACATTATTCACAGTAACTATTTATAAATTGAGAGATAGAGTTGTAGATTATGAACTAGAATGAAGACTTTCTTGATAAGGCAGCTGCTAAAGGTTCATCAGGAAAATGCTAAAGCTGAATAACTTGTTCCTCTTTGTGATGGAATCAAAAGGTTTCGGAATTCAATTCTTAAAGTGGGAATATTGAACATCCTAATCGACTATGATAGATTTATATATAGTTCTTTGTGCTGCTTATCTAATGAGGGTGTGAATGGATTTTGTTAAAGCCTTGTTTATTTTCTTAGGTATAATCCATATGTTCAGGCAAGGAGCAGGATAGATCAGCTGAAGCGGTTGGGTCACAGTGTAGATAAGGTTAGAGTTTGATCTTTTCTATTTATCTTAGTAATTAATTCATGTTTACCAATCTTCGGCCCAGATAATTACTTAGGATTTAAATGACAGGTTGAGTTCATTTTGATGGGAGGTACTTTTATGTCGCTGCCTGCTGAGTATCGGGATTATTTTATACGGAACCTGCATGATGCGTTGTCAGGACACACTTCCGCCAACGTTGAGGAAGCAGTTGCTTATTCTGAACATAGTGCAACTAAATGCATTGGCATGACAATTGAAACGTGAGTTGTTTTTGCTTGAAGTGTCTTGTTTTGTGTATGTGTTGGTCCTTATATAATTCTTATATATTGAGATATCTTTCTTTTGTGAATTTGGTTTTAAACTTTAGGGGAACTATACCATAAGTTCAATCCTAGAACTTTATGTGAATTTTGGTTTCGTGTTTCATTGCTGTTTTCTTTTCATTGATTACTTTAAATGGAAGAGTGAGTCAAATGTCTAACCTCTGAAGAATGAGACTTCAAATCTGTGAAATACATTACCTAATCTGTTTTAAAAATTCATCAGGAGGCCAGATTACTGTCTTGGACCTCATCTGCGACAAATGCTGATTTATGGTTGCACCCGACTAGAGATCGGTGTCCAGAGTACATATGAAGATGTTGCCCGTGACACAAATAGAGGCCATACTGTTGCTGCGGTAGCAGACTGCTTCTGCTTGGCTAAAGATGCTGGTTTCAAGGTATATCCATATAGATTAGCCTTTGACGAATATTTTTTACCATGTATTATCAAATTTCTCGTGGCAGCTTTCACCTTAAGCAGTGAGCCTTTTTTTATTCGGTGACACTGCTGTAATCGTGTCCTTACTCCTTTTGTCTGTTTTGCTTATAGGTGGTTGCACATATGATGCCTGATCTCCCTAATGTTGGGGTTGAGAGAGACATGGAAAGTTTCAAGGAGTTTTTCGAGAGCCCGTCATTTAGAGCAGATGGGTTAAAGATATATCCTACCCTCGTGATACGTGGAACTGGCCTTTACGAACTATGGAAAACTGGGAGGTATAATGTTCTTGTGTTAAAAGAAGAATGCGCCTAAATGTTACGAGGGAAAAGCTCTAATCATGTTTCATTTTCTGCAGGTACCGAAATTATCCACCTGAGCAGCTTGTTGATATCGTTGCAAGGATTCTATCCATGGTACCTCCATGGACACGTGTTTATAGAGTGCAGCGTGATATTCCTATGCCTTTGGTTACGTCAGGGGTTGAAAAAGGAAATCTTCGTGAACTGGCTCTAGCCAGAATGGATGACTTGGGCCTCAAATGCCGTGATGTCCGTACTCGTGAAGCTGGAATTCAGGTGCTTAACGCAAAATTTAGTTTCGTTCTTTGTACTCTTGTTATTGACTACTGGATTTCTAAAATATTTGCTCATATGTTCTTGAATACAGGACATTCATCACAAAATTAAGCCAGAACAAGTAGAGCTTGTGCGTCGAGATTACACTGCAAATGAAGGTTGGGAGACATTCCTTTCTTATGAAGATACACGCCAGGTAAAAGCCTCATATCTCTCATCCTCTCTACGCGCAGTATAGTCCCTTGGATAATAGTTGATAAATCGTTAATAAGATCTCATACTTCTTCTCACTCACTAGATGTATTAAGTCATGTTTATCTACCATATATAGATTTTGAGTAGGTGATCAATTTTGTATCCGTAACTTCATTGTGTCATGCACTAAGCCTAGAGTTTCATGAGAAACTTGAAAAAGCTTTGTCTTCTCAATCCATAAGCCCCATTATTGGTTTTAGAATCCGTCAATGCTCTGGAAATTTTTCTCAGAGAAAAGAACCCACCATTTATCTTTGTCGACGCAGGACATTCTTGTTGGCTTATTACGTTTGCGAAAATGCGGAAAGAACGTAACTTGTCCAGAACTTATGGGAAAGTGTTCTGTTGTCCGTGAGCTTCATGTATACGGAACGGCTGTACCAGTGCATGGTCGAGAGGCTGATAAGTTGCAACATCAGGTACACAATAATTCAACTTGATATTGACTCCTAGTTAAGGAGTTTTATTCTGATTATCCGTTTTTTTTTTTGTCGAATTTGCAGGGATACGGAACACTTCTGATGGAAGAAGCAGAGAGGATTGCTAGAAGAGAACACCGATCTAACAAAATCGGTGTGATCTCAGGTGTAGGAACCCGACATTATTACAGAAAGTTGGGTTATGAATTGGAAGGTCCTTACATGGTGAAGCATCTTCTTTGAAACTCTGTTTTGAGTTAAAATCAAATTCGTAAACGTGCCCTCTTTTTTTGTTGAACTAGTGATTACCTGATCGTTTTGAGTGTATTGCTTTCTAAATTTATAAAAGAGTTGATTACAGAAAGAGCACTTTTTAGGATAGGTATTATAAAATAACAACTCTTTAAAAAATTTGGGCATAAGAAATTATTGCAATATAAAAAAAAAAATTCCCTTGGGTTTATAAGATTGTTTTAAGGTCTGAGTTTTCTTTAGCAGTGCAAAAATTTTTTAGGAAATACCTATTTTGTAAAAATCTTTTGGGAAAACGGCATATTTCCCTTCATCAAGTTTTATAGTAACAAATTCACGAGGAAAGTTTAGTTTTATCCAATTAAAAAGTTAAAAACTTATGAGAAAAGTTTAGTTTGATCCAATTAGAAAGTTAAAAAATTTTATAGCCCTGAATTTAAAGTTTAGTTTTTTCACCCACCTAGGATTTACATCGGTTTATTGTTTATCAATAAGTGTGTTGACCACTTAAAAATGAAACTTATCGAAATTAAACCCAATTAAAAATTTAAACCAAAATTGACCCATAATGCTGACCAAAAGACCAACATCTGATTCCCTCTAAACTCTCAAAACCCCCAAATCCTCAAGAACCCTAAAATCGAAAATCCCAAATACTAAATTCGTGAACCCTAAATTGAAACCTCAATCCCAAATCAAACCCCAATACTAAATCAAACTTCATTCCCGAATCAAACCTAATTCCGATTCCACCTCAATCTTCGATTTCTTCTGCAAATATCGATAGTGGAGTGGCTCTTGGGTATGATTCCGATGGTGAAGATCGCAGGGAGCAGAATCACTACAACATCGAGCAAGCTCTGACTGAGTATCAAGATGAGCTTTCCATAAGGCACAATATGTACCCGAACTTGGATGAAGAAGATGCGACGTGAGCGAAGGCTCAGAGACGCGACAGTTTCCGACAAGGCAATGGAAGCTTGTACTTAGGACAAGTCTTCGTCAGTGGTATAACGTTCAAGGAGAGTGTCCTGGACTATGTGCTGAAGAATGGTTACAATCTGAGTCAGTACAGGTATGACAAGACGAAGCTTTGGTTTAAGTTTGAGGGAGATGGTTTTTCATAGCGCATCTACTGCTCTTGACCAGGTAACAATACAATGTGGGAGGTTGCGGTGTTTGAGTCAGTTCATTGTAGTGTTCCCAATAGGGTTTGTGAGATGTTCAAGGTGTCGGTGATTGTCTGACTCTTTTTTGATAAGATTCATGAAGAACCAGAATACTTCATGCCTATGAAGATTAAGGAGTTGGTTATGGAGAAGTGGAAGATATCTGTGACAAGGCTTCAATGCCAGCATGAGAGGAATAAAGCTCTGAGATGGATTGAAAGAGAGTATGAGGAGCAGTTTGCACGTCTCCGAGATTATGCAAAAAAGATAGAAGTCTCTAATCCTGGAACTTCCATGGAGGTTGATTGCATGATAAATGAAGAACGTAAACATGTCTTTCAAAGATTATATGTCTGCTCCGAGAACCTCAGAAGATCATGGAAAGAAAACTGTAGGCCGATGATAGGAGTGGATGGTTGTTTCTTAAAAATTGTCCACAAAGACGAGTTGTTTGTTGCAAATGGTCGAGATGCAGACAATCAGATCTACCCAGTCGCATGGGCTGTAGTACAAAAGGAAAAAGATGATAATTAGGGTTGGTTCTTTGGTAAGATCAAGCATGAATTAGGACTAGAAGATGGAGATGGTTATGTTTTAATCTATGATCGCCAAAAGGTAAAACTTATAGTAAGATTATTGCTTATTTATGCCTATTTTAATTGTATAGATCCTTACTTAATTTTTTTTGTAGGGATTGATCAGTGCCGTTCAAAAAATCCTGCCAAAGATAGAGCATAGAATGTGTACAAGGCACATTTACATGAACTTGAAGCCTCGACATACTAAGAATCCAGAGTTGAAAGGTTTGATTTGGCATGTACCTTGGAGCTACAATGGGCCAGAATTTAGGGAAAATTTGTGGAAGATAGAGTTATATGATGAAGCAGTGCACCGAGATTTGATGAAAACAAAACCGGAGACATGGTGCAGAGCATTCAACAAGCTTGGATCTTATTGTGAGAATGTGGAGAATAATTCAGTTGAATCATTCAACAACTCTATAGGTATGGTTTTGCTATAGTCAAATAACAGCTTGGTGGTTATTTTATGAATGTTTTTTTCATTGTTCTACTCAGGTAAAGCTAGGGATAAGACCTCATTTTATGAATGTTTTTTTCATTGTTCTACTCAGGTAAAGCTAGGGATAAGGCCTTAGTGCCTATGCTATAGACCATTGCAAGATTGGCAATGGTTCGTATAGCCAAAAGAGATATAAAAGCCACTAACTACAATGGCTTTTGTACGCCATACATGAAGAAATACTTCGAAGAGTTGCATGACAAAGCTTCAGGATGCTTTGTTAGACCATCCACTAACATGAAATTTTCTTCTATAATCGATGGATGCACTCACCGAGTGGACTTGGCTAATAAGAGAGGAATTATCGATAGTTCACCCTGATATCCCAAAGATGTCTGGTCGAAAGAAGGATAACGATAAGGCGGAGGAGAAAGTTACAAAGAAGGATAAAAGAGGAAGAGAGGGAAGAATGAGTCTCCCACGAAGAAGGCAGAACCATTGGAGAAGAGGAGAACTATGCATTGTGGAATATGTGGAGCTGCTGGTCATAATTCTCAGTGGCATAATAAGAAGAAGAAATCAAGATCTGCGGTTCTTCTTTCTTTCTTATGCATTTTCTTCTATGAGTTTTAAGGTAATGTATGTCTATGCTAATGCTTATTGTTTTATGATTTTCTCAGGTTCCTTTACTTGAGTCATCATCTCAAGTTGAATCCTCACAAGGAGTTCTCAATCAGCTTGACAAGACGAAGTGTTTTCTTTAGATGTGTCTTTTGATGCTGTTTAGAACATGTTTTTAATCTATGTTATGGCTGTCTTTTTGGACCTCTTTCAGCTTGTTCTGCGGCAATGTCTTTCTTCTTATTTTGTGGATGTTTTTGAACCTATTTAGGTGTAATGATCAGACTTATTCTGTTTACATTGATGTTCTAGTTATATTGATCCATGCTCTACTTATATTGAATCAAGTTTAATGTCAAGATAACAAAACACAAATTCTTAGCATCAAGCTTGCTAACAACATTCATGCATCCAAAAACAAACAACAAGCTTGCTAACAAAGCATCAACTTACAAGCTTGGTATACCCAACAACAATCATGCATCCAAAACACACAATTAACATCATTTTTTTCATTTCGGATTTAGCTTCAGCTATAGCTTATTCCACTCTTTCAAAATTCTCTTTCTCTAGCTTCATTTGAAGCTCTTCAAACATCTTCTTCTCGGCCTCCATAGACCCATTCGCCATTTCTGCCACCACTTGTTCAAGTTTTTCAGTTCTAATATGTCAATACATCTATCTCACTCAACAATGCCACATCGACCCACTTGAAAATGTGGCTATCATTTAAAAGCTACAAATAATGATAATCATCACCATTAAATTTGCATAAACCAGACCATTTCACAATGACAAGAGGAGACATAGCTGTGTACCTTTTTCTCAACAGCAAATGCACAACAATAGTATCTCAGACATCGACATTTTTGCGATAATTACTTCTCCACACCAACATCTTTTTTGCACACCTGAACTTCTTCGTTCTCGACCACCTGATGTGACACTTGAAGCAACAGATTTATTGTTATTCATTGTAATCGAAATTCAAACCTCACTCGAAGCTTGGGTTTCTGAATATTCTTTAGGGTTCCTCAACTGATTTTGGAATTGATTTGGGAATTTTCAAATTGTAATGAATAAACGATTTGTGTTGGATCGGGTTTTTAGATGGGTTTATAGTTTAGGGTCACTTTGGTCGGGTTTTAAAAAACAGTCTGGAATCAAGAAATACAGTTTCGTCTACGGTTAAACTCACAAACCAGTGAAATCAACTAAGGCTATATATGTTTCAAACTTTTAGGACAAAGTCGAAACTTCGGATTTTGGTGGAGAAAATACGTCGTTTTCCCAAATCTTTTTATAAAGTTTGAATTCGTTTTCCCAAATCTTTTTATAAAGTTTGAAGTCTTACAGTACAGTCTCACATTAAGTAGACACGAAAGAATCCTACTTCAAAACTGATATTCAACTGTATTATAATATGATAGTGTCTGCAAAAGCTGCAAAAGCTGCAAAAACTCTATCTCTTCTTCTTTGCAATGCCTCCCTTTCTAGAGCTACCACTAGCCTCAGGTCCTTCTGCTTCTTCAGCCTTTTGCTCTGCCTCAAGTATTGCCAACTGCAAATTTTTTACATTCAACCAGTATCACACATCAAAACTTGGGTCACTTTTCAAACAATAGAGAGAAAAAAAGAGAGAGAGAGAGAGAGAGAGAGAGAGACTGATCTGACCTCATCGAGAATGGGTTTGAGTTCCAAATACCGAGTTTCTGCGAGATCAAAACCATCCTTCCGCAGCTCCTACAATGCCAAATTACATGTTGATCATAACGTCATGAGACTCATGCTAAAGACAGTACAAGATTTCTACAATATGTCAAATCGAAACAGAGATTATTAGCATACCTTTCCCGTATGTTGGGTATGCTCATAAGCAGCCATTTGCCAGTACATGTTTGTGCGCTTATAGAAATCCTTCAAAGTTTCTCCAGGCTTCAAAGACAAACATGATCATATTAGTTGAGAGCTTCAAACAGAATCTCTTTCTTGGAAACAAAAAAAAAAAGTATATGCTCAAACCAAAATTTTACCGCTGGGGTTCTCTGTGCATCTGAGAGACCAAGATTAGCTCTAATCTGTTCTATCCGAGCTCGTTTCTCTTTTCTTCGTAGGGCTTTTCCTTCTCCTTTTATCATTGCAACAACTTCTCCCACTTTCACTGATCCATCAACATCCATAGCCTAGATTTCACATAGCCAAATCAAGTCAAACCCAACAAGACAAAGGGCAATAGAAGCTAAAAGAAGAAGGAAATATAAACCATATATAGACCAAAACCAGTACCTCTGCTTCTTCATCGTCATCATCCTCATCAGACTCTTCACTGTTTCCTTCATCGTCACTATCATCTTCATCTTCGTCTTCGTCTCCTTCTTCATCCTCTGAGACTTCCACCCACTCAGTCTCAGTCGCCTGTTTTCAAGACATAACAAGAAACGCATTGGCTACACAGTATTTATCAATTATACCAGACAAAAAAATGGAGATTGATGTAGAACAAACCGGAATGATACACTTCCACCCGTCAAGTTTGCTAAGATTAAGCGAGTACAAATCATCAAGAGTAATTTCTTTGTCTTTTATCTCCATCATGCCACCATATATGTATAAGGTATCCTTCCCAACGACCATACAAGAATTGATACGTCCACATGGTTTTACAACCTGCTCAACAAAATAATAATTGCAACAATTTACAACTCGGCACCAAAGCTCATAACAAAAATTAGGTAATGTTAATTAATTTTGCCATAACAAACCTCTTCTGAGACAGAAACTTGTGGATCTAGTCTAGCTTTTGCTCCTTGGAGAGCCTTGCTTTTATCAGACTCAACAGTTAGACCTGCTGCCATACGTTCAGATAACCCATCAGAAAAGCCTGCCGTATCACCAATGGCCAACGATTCATCTTCTTCTGTTGACTCCATCTCATCATCGTCATTAGAAACCATAGGTTTTGCCTCTAAGTTCTTCTTTGCCTGTGAGAAACCGTACAGATGTTATCCACCAACTCGTATGATACGTCTAAGGATAAGGACCACCTCATTGTAGAAAAAGTTGAACAATGGATGCAAAAGCAAAATTCTAGTAGAAATATATAGTCATACCTTATCTTTTGATGACTTTTCTTTTCGTAACTCTATGGGGTACCTGTCCTCCACAGACAAGGAGAGTTAAGTACTTCGAAAATGAAAAAATAATGAACCGCAACGTATATTTAAGAACTAAGTATCTCAGATTTAGAAAATGAAAAGTACGTTTGAGAAGCATTACAGAGTTTCAGTACTCGCAAGAACAGTAGATGGATTCTTACCAGCGGCGATTATCTAACTGGAAGCCATAGAGTTCATTTAAGAACAAACTCATCATTACATCACCTGCCAAGAAAACTACAGAAGTCAATACCTCAACATACAGATTCTGATATACACAAATAATATACAGGGATACCATTTCCCGACCTTCCATTTCCATGTCCACGACACCCCCAAACAGCAAAGCACGCTTTTTGTGGACACAAACCGAAAATCCGGCACGGGAGCTAGGAGGCATCCCAATTTTCTTCACCTAAGTACAGCAAGTGAATTATTATTACATTAGGAAGAAACGAGTTAACTCTACAGGGTTTTTAAAATATCTAACTGATGGAAACCGCAAGACATAAATAAATTAAGAGTAAAAGTACATACTTTGTTCCATTCCCAGGTCCTAGGATCAAGAGACCACAAATCTGCATGAACAATTCCTTTCTCAGAGCTTTTCTCCGATGAGACTTCTTTTGAATAACCACCATACAAGAATATCTGCAGCAGCAAAGGCTTTCCAATAAATAAAAAGAGACAGAGTTTGGACTTGAGGGATATGATATAGACATGTACATTGTAAACTAACCTCATCTTGATACACAAAAAACTGGAAACCGCTTCTAGCTGTAGGCCACATGGCACCAGGCTTTGGTTTTACTTCTTGCCACTATCAAAGAAACACCAAAATATAATCACATCGGAGAGGTAAGAATTGAAACGGAGGAAATTTCTGCGATTGGAAGGTAGGTTCACCTTGTATTGGTCCAAGTCAAACACATATAGATCATTGTAATACCTGAAAACGAGCAGTTGATGGCAGAAGTTAGCTTACAAAGATGTTACATCAAACAAAAGGATAGAGAAAATCTATGTCCAATCGAACTAATGATCCTTTTCACTCCTAATTCAGTTTAAACTACTACAAAATGTACACATTATCTATTCTCATTTACTAAATTTGCTTACTTCACTGTAAAGGATTTCTCAGTTATTGGACGACCAATATAATTAAACACTCAGGGAGTAATCAAAGGGAGAAAGACTACAAACGAAGAGATATCATTAATATCCTGATATACTTCTTACGCAAGGAGTAAATTACAACCTTACTTCACGTAGAGTGTCATAGAATCCACCAAAAATTATAATCTTGTGCTTGTATAATACCTGGAGGAAAAGTAAAGATAGAGCAGAGCAGGGTAAGAACTCGATGTGTTTGGTCACTAGAGGGGAAGCAAGAGTTGATTAATTATAATTACAGTTCCACTAAGAAACAACTCAATAGAGAAGAATGCTTTATATATTCATCAAAGAAGATAATTTGAAAATCAAGCAGCACATAAGAGACAAATCTGCCAGATTCCCACTCTTTGATGTATAAACTACTCGACAAAGTCTCTATCGTCTTAAATATCAAAGTCTGAATCTATCGACTTATTCCCGCTGCCTGTTAGCGATATACATTGCAAATTTTAAGGCAAATTGTGTCAGGATCGATCAAAGACTAACCATACGATGACCAGAACGTGGACTAGGACATCCCTTCAAATTTAACTGTTCCCATTGGTTCGTTTTCACGTCCAGCATCCAAAAGTCCTATAAATCAAACCCAAAGTTAAAAGATGAGAAGCGAAAAAAAAACAAGTAATAGACTGGCAAACAAACAGAAGTATACTACACACTTTGTAGTGGTGGAACCGCTCTTGATTTGGAGAAGTAAATTCACCACCTAATCAATGAAATAGAAGCTTAACTAATATGGAACGAGAGGAACCTAGATGAAAGAAACAACTAAACATCTTCAATCTACCAAATATGTAGAGATAATTCTTCCAAGCAACTGCCTGATGAGAGCTACGAGGAGGTGGACTATTGGGGCTTGAAATTAACCTCCACTCCTGCTTATCGACATCATATCGATAAAGATCACCATATACATACGTCTGCATTTACAGGAAACAAAAAAAGAAATACAATTTTTCATTATATGATTGTAATCATACACTCCTTAACAAGGGGACAAACAAGCAAAGAAAAAAATATTGCTCAAAAACAATCTTGAAAGCTAACCTTTTGGCCATTATAAAACTCCCCACCATAGAGTATCAACTCAGTCTCTTTCAAGGGATTTATAGTAAGCTGGATAAATGTTCATAACCAGCACAGATTTAGCAGAAGTCAAGAGCTTTAGATCAAAAACAAAGTTTCAATCTTTGAAGAACAGAGTAAGAGAGAAGCAAGCCTAACCGAGCAATTTGACCTAGGAGATGGTGCTGGTACATTTTCCTCAACATGAACCTCTTTCTTCTTAGCTTCTTCCTTCTGTATGCTCAACTGATACACAACAAACAACATTAGAGAACCTTACATTATGCCAAAACATAGAAAAAGGTTGTTTTTTATTGCAATTATTCTATTTTTAATCAAAATACGCCGTAAAACCATAAACAGAGCAGAACCCAACACACTGATTCTTAAGCTTAAACTAATACACTTAGTAGCAAATCAGAATCGATGAGAACTCAAACAAGTAATAAGAAGAAATATGTCTATTGTCTAAACAAACAAGTTGGAAATAATGAAGATGATGAATTATAGGAAGAGTGTAAATACGAGAATAGCGTCGATGTCGTCTTCAGGGGAGAGCTTTTTGCCTTCTCGACGAGCTTTCTTCTCCTCTGCCTTGGCGGTTTTCCTCTCAGTTTTCTCCTTTCCTTTACCGGCCTTCTTCGTCTTCTTTCCCATTTCTGTGTGTGCCTCAATTTGCTTGCTTCACAGACGCACGAATGGAGGCTGAGACCGAAGAAGTTGCGATTATTGTACAATGGAAGTAGCCCTTCTTCTACAGTGCTAAAGGAAGAAGACGAAGGTGGCTTTTATCTATTTGGGCCAGATCAAGCCCATTATTTATATTATGGAGGGAAAATTGTACTAGCAAATTATAAGCCCATTTGCTTATATCATCATGTCATCATTAATCAATCATACTTATAACATTCACAAAACTGGTATATCAAAACGATACTTTTTCTTTTCTTTTCTAACGTCTAATAAGTAATAACTTAATGTATCGATTACAAATAAAGTTTACAGCATGATTACACAGAACCACTCAAATATAATCTGTAAACATCCAATTGAAAAGACGATCTAACAAAAGGAAATTAAATACTGACGATGTTGTGCCTCTTGAAAGCCTTATTCACGAACAAAGTAAATCTGTTATTTTAGGTTTTCGTAATCAGTTTCAACTTTCAAACGGATGTGAATATTGAGCTTGGCTCACACCTTTTCGATAAGACTCCAAATCACACATTGTATAGCTTAAACTAATGTATTCATCCCGAGCTCTTGTTTTTTGGAATATTGATACCAAATATACTGTATCAAAATATGAGTTTTGAAATGTTATTCCTGTCTCGTTGAAATCAATCTTCTACTTTAGCATCAGGATCGGCTCAATAGGTTTTGGCGCCTAAAGCCAAAAGAAAATTAGTTTATTAATAAAAAAATTTAATAAAATTCTGCCTCTGAAGCTGGAACCCAATACCGAAAACCTCATATTTAGGGCAATAAACCACTGCACTACAACATTTGAGAAGTCCAGCAACCATATATGAGAAACTATAATTCTTACGTTACTCACCATCAATAATAGGAAAAACGATTCGAGAATAGACACAAATACTACAGTAATAAAGAGAGAACCATACAAATCATATATAATCCATCATTCTATCTAAATCGATGGTTTTAGATATCACAACCAACCAGAACCTTTTATCAACAAAAAAATTCGATCCTATGACTAAAAAATCTTATTATATATATATATATATATATAATTTTGATTAGTCTATTTTGTAATTACAATGATTGCTCTATAGATCAGATTTCAACATGTGTAAATCATTTATCTAATTATAAAAGTTAAATTGTAAAAAAAAAAAATAGTTCAAATAAGATTAAGATCATCAATTCTTCAGATTTAGGAATAGATAGATATTATAGGTAATTAAATAATAATAAAAACTGAAATAGGAACAGAAAAAATTGAATATATCAAAATATGAGAGAAATTGGAAATCAAATGCTAGAAAAAAATAGGATGATCAATATAAATAACTACTAGTTATTTTTTGTATGATTTTTTTTTTATTTCCCTACGATATTTTTTTTTATTTCCCCACAGCTATTTACTTGTACCTTGATGTCTTCCTTTCCTTAATCTTCAAATCCCGAATATAAGCGTTGGATAGAATAAACCATAATAGAGTGAAATCCGCTATTAGACTTCATTAAAATCTTCATCTTTCTTGATTTAAACCAAGTCGGAAGCTTATTATATATCGGAAGAAAAAATCCGATCACTTGATCAGAAGTTTGAGAGAAAAATCACCCTCTCTCTCTGAAAGATAGGGAAGAGAGAAGAGAGAGGGAAAAAAACTCTCCTAATAGAATTTTAAAACTTTTTTTAAAGAAGTAATGAACTCTAGGATTTAAACTCCCAAAACTCATAGCTCTTGTCACAACTCAACAAGGCTATTTATATAGGTAAAACACAACATAGTTTTTCCTTTTCCTAATAGTAGATTATTTCCTAATCATAAAGGTTTTGCCTCTTATCTCTTAACCAACATGTTAATGAGATATCTTAGGCTTTAAGCTACTAGAACCTATTAAAAGCTTATCCAACATTCACCCCCTTAAGCTTCAAGTTGTTCTTGGTAAGATCTTGAACACCAATCTTGATCTTCATCTCTTTAAACTTGATCCTTGCTAGAGCTTTAGTAAGGATGTCTGCGCATTGTTCTTCTCCGGGAACATGCTCCACTTCGATCTGTTTTTCTTCAATACATTCACGAATAAAATGGTACCCTTTGTGAATATGCTTTCTGCGTCCATGAAAGACTGGATTCTTGGTGAGCTTGATAGCAGATTTGTTGTCTATGCGGATGACAATCTTCTCCTGGTTCCAACCGGTTACTTCACTTAACAGATCTTGTAACCATATCGCTTGTTTGGCAGCTTCGGTGGCTGCCATAAACTCGGCTTCACACGATGACAGAGCAATTCTTTCTTGTTTTTAAAGAACACCAAGTGATAGGTGATTTGCCAAAGAAAAACGCATTTCCTGTAGTACTCCTTCCATCATCAGGGTCGACATTATGGGTGCTATTACTGTATCCAATAATCTTCTTTTCCCCACTTCTTTCGAACGTTAGACCGAAGCTAAGTGTCCCTTGAAGATACTTCAGCACTTGCTTTAGAACTTTACCATGCGATTCTTTTGGGTTATGCATGTATCTGCTTAGGACTCCAACAGAGAATGCAAGATCAGGTCTGGTGTGAATAAGGTACCTTAAACATCCAATTTTCCGACGATATGATGTGGCATCGATCTCAGGTTCCTTATCATCCCCTTTGGACAAGACTAAACCGAACTCCATTAGTATGTGAGTGGGATTGCAATCTTCTAGGCCTGCTTCTTTTAGGATTCTTCGAGCATAAGCCTCCTTTTTGATCTCTATTCCCTTTTTTGTTTGACTTACTTCCATACCAAGGTAGTAAGTAAGCTTCCCAAGGTCTGACATCTCAAAGTTACTCGACATTCAGTTCTTGAAGTCGTAGATGATTTGTGATGTGTTTTCAGTCACAAATAAGTCGTCCACATACACAATGACTATGAGAAAGCCTCCATCTTCTTCTTTGCGATATACCGAGCTCTCTCTTGAGCACCTCTTGAACTTCATTCCCTTTAATATCTGATCAAGCTTTGTATTCCATGCTCTTGGGGCTTGTCGTAGTCCATATAAGGCTTTTGAAAGTTTGAACACCTTATGTTCTTCTCCCTTCCTTTCAAAGCCTTCTCGTTGGGAAACATATACCTCTTCGCTTAATTCACCGTGAAGGAACGCAGTTTTCACGTCCAAGTGATGAATTTCCCAACCGTTTGAAGCAGATAAGCCCACCAATAGACGAATAGTTTCTATACGAGCCACAGGTGCAAAAACTTCTTCAAAGTCGATTCCAGATTTTTGCACATATCTTTTGCAACAAGTCTGGCTTTGAACTTGTTGATTGATCCATCTGCATTTCTTTTGATCTTGAATATCCACTTGAGGCCAATAACTTTTGCTCCGATGGGTTTCTCAACTAATTCCCAAGTTCTGTTTTTGTTGATGGATCTGATTTCTTCTAGGCAGGCATTTGTCCACTCTGTGGACTCTTTTGCTTCTTCGAAAGTCATCGGCTCCTCATTGATTGCTAAGAGAAGCATCCCACACTCCCTGTCAGCTAGCATCACGAAATCTTTGAGGTGACCAGGGCGTCGCACTGGTCGACTGGATCGTCTTGTCTGAAACGGATCGACATCGACTTCTTGTGCTTGATCAGTTTCAAATTCATCCCCTTCCTCTGTTTCGGCTTCGTTTTCTTCTTCGCCTTGTATTTCGTCTTCATTGTCATCTCGGGTATCTCCTGCTGTATAAGGACCTCGGCCCTCATCTACTACAGCTCCCCAAGTCATGTGAAACATTCCAGGTTCACATCTGTCATCTTTGTTGGCTCCCTTCCAATTCCATCCTGATTTCTCATTAAACACCACATCTCGGCTAACAATGATTTTCTTAGAAGCAGGGTTGTATAACCGATACGCTTTGGATCCTGTCTCTGTTCTGAGATGTACTAGTGCTCTTGAGCGATCATCGAGCTTTCTTAAGTTCATCGGTTCAACCTTAGCATAAGCAAGACATCCAAATACCTTAAGATGATCGATATTTGGTTTCTTGTTTCTCAAGCTTTCTTATGGTGTCTGGTTTTTGAGAGCTCTTGTGGGAATTCGGTTGATCAGGTATGTAGAATGGTGTATTGCTTCTCCCCATAGATAATTTGGAACTTTTATAGCCTTAAGGATACTTCTTGTCATCTCCAACAATGTCCTATTTCTTCTTTCAACTACGCCGTTTTGTTGCGGAGTATACGGTGTTGTAAGATGTATCCTGATTCCTGTTTTTTTCACAGAACTCATGAAATTCTGTTGATGTGAATTCCCCACCTCTGTCAGTTCTAAGAGTCATAATGGCCTTCCCAAGTTCTTTCTCCACTTGGCTTTTAAACACCTTGAACCTTTCAAACACTTCACTCTTCTCCTTTAGTAAAAACGTCCACATATACCTTGTGTGATCATCAATGATGACAAAGATATATCCGTTATGAGCCAAAGTTGCTGGTGAGATGGGTCCGCATAGGTCTGCGTGAAGAAGCTCTAGAGTTTGTGAGGATCTATACTGTGTTGCATTCGGAAAAGCCTGCCGAGTTTGCTTGCCCACCAAACAAGATTCACAAAGCTCTGTTCCTTCCTCTATTTTTGGTAATCCTTGCACCATGTCTTGAGCCGACATCATCTTAATGGTTTAAAAGTTGATGTGCCCAAGTCTTGCATGCCATCTCCAGCTTTCTTCTTCGATCTTTGAATGCAGACAGATTAGATTTCGAATTTGGAGATTTATCTTGTACAATCTGTTTGGTGAGATGAATACTTTGACTAAAAGTCTTCCATTCGGGTCATACAGGGTGAGATAGTTTTGCTTCATTCTGATGTCACAGCCATACTCGATTGCTTGTCCTAGATTCAAAATATTGCTCTTGAGCTCCGGAATGAAGTAAATATCAGTCACCAGTTGTTGTTCTTCGGTTTTTCCTTGAAACAAGATTGATCCTTTGCCTTCAATCATGACACACGATCCCTCCCCAAATTTCACTTTGCCTTTAATGTTCTCATTCAGCTCAGAGAAGTATGACTGTACTCCTGTCATGTGATTACTCGCCTCGTT